CGGCACTATTCACAATAGCCAAGTTATGGAAACAGCCAAGATGCCCCACCACTGACGAATGGATTAAGAAAATGTGGTATCTATACACAATGGAATTTTATGCAGCCATGAAGAAGAATGAACTTTTGTCATTCGGAGGTAAATGGATGGAACTGGAGAACATCATCTTAAGTGCAGTTAGCCAGGTTCAGAAAGCCAGAGGTAACATGTTTTCTTTCATATGTGGAATACAGGCCCAATACAAACACAGCTATGTCATGAAAACAGGTCACACTCAGGGGACGTCACACACGAGAGAGGGAGGGTCAAAGAAGGAAGCTAAGAAGGTGAATATGGTTGATGTACTTTCTATACAAGAATGAATATAGAATTTTTACATCTGTTGAAATCACCATAAGGGGACTGAGGTAGAAAGGAGAAAAATAGAGGGGATGAACCAATTTGGGTTACAATACATATATACATGGAAATGTCACAAGGAAACTCCCTGTGTAGCTATCTTAAACAAACAAAAATGTCATTTTTCAAAAACAGGACAGGAAGGTAAAACAGGTCCCATCTGGGGTTGGCTCCATCGTGGGGGAGAGGATGTAAGGAAAGGGTGTGGGAGGGTGAATCTGGTGGAATATTATGCACTCATGTATGAAAATGGAAAAATGAGACCTGTGGAAACTGTTCCAGGAATGGGGGAAGGGGGATAAAGGAGAATGATGGAGGGGAAATTCAACTAATATATACTGTAAGAACTAATAAAAAATAAAAATAAATAAAAACAAAAAATCTGATTCATAACAGTCCTCTGAGATGAGGAGGGGAAGAATGAACTCACAGCTCCTGTCTGTCTTGTCAAAGGATAGACCCAGTGCTCTGCTTCTCCTGTAATTTTGTCGCAGGCTCTCGGAGGGGGTGGGGGTGAGCAGTAGCTCTCGTGCCTGAGCAGTAGCAGGGAAGCTCCGAGGGTTGCTGGGAGGTGCTGATAGGTTATGCCTGACATGGAAGCAAGGAAAGGCAGTCCTGGCCCCCCAGCAAGGTGAGGCTGAAGGACTGAAATGGGTACCCAAGAGATGCTGGCTACTGGGGATTTTCAGATACTGTCAACAGCTTTCCAAAATGGTGGAACCAAGTCTCTCCAGCAGAGTATGAGGGCCCCATGCTGCCCTGCATCCTTGGCAACACCGGGTGTTTAATTTTAGCTCTTCTAGCGGATGAGTGTTGACATCTCATTCTGGTTTTAATTTGCATTTCCCTGATAACTAGCGAGGTTGAGAACCTGTTCAGGGGGTTATCTGTCTTTGGATATCCGTTTTTGGAAAGCACCTATTTAAAGTCTTTTTCTATGGATTTAATATCGATTTTTTTAGATACAAGTCATAATTTTAGATACAAGTTTCCTTGGTCAGATATATGCATCAAAGCAGTTCCTCTCACACGTGGTTTATGCTTCTGTCTTTTAACCATGTCTCTTTGACTAACAGAAGTTTCTAATTTTAATGTAGTCCAGCCCATCACTTCTTTTGCTGGCAGTGCTGCTTGTGTCGTGTTTGAGAAAGCGAAGCTACACTCTCCCTAAATTTTCTTCTAGCAGCTTTGCTGTTTGCCTTTCATATGTACGTTTGCCGGGATTGTGCTAGAGTCTGGATCTGGTCTGTTGCCCAAAGGCTCATAAGTAAAAGGCATGGTCCCCATTTAGTGCTGTTAGGAAATAGTGGAACCTTGAAGAGGTAGAAGTCTAAGCTAGTGTGCTGCACACTACTCAGGAAGCAGAGGCACGAGAATCACAAGTTTGAGCCTGGTGTGGGCAAAGTGAGTGAGACCCTAGTTCAAAAACAAAAAGGCCTGGGGGCATAGCTTACATAGCAGGTACAAGGCCCTGGGTTCAATGTCCAGTACCTCCAAACAAAAAAAAAAAGAAGTCACGGGGGTGTGCTTTCAGGATGGTGGGAACTCAGCCTCCCCCTCCTCCTTCCCACCCTCCATGAGGCGGGCAGTTTTGTTACGCCACAAACTCACACTGAAGGCAGGGGCCAAGTGACCATGGACTAGAGTCTCCAAAACTGTAAGCTGAAAGAAATCTTTTCTAAGTCCATTGTCTCAGGTATTTGTTGCAGTAGTGGGAAGCTAACAGAGATTGGCTTTAGGGGATGGTGTAAGACAGAGGTAAAAGGATCCCTGGCCCCCCAGCCCCCCATCTGATCTACCACAATATATTGAAAAGTCTGTTCTTTCTCCATCACTCAGCAAATCAACTTTGTCACCCTCAACCCGGGACGGTCTGTCTCTGCATTTCATTGAGTTCTGCTAGAAGACTTAATTCTCCTTGCACCAGTTCCCCACTGTCTTCCCTACTGTGGTGTATCTCCTCCAACTTTGTTCTGTGTATACATTTTAGAATCAGCTTGTCAGGTTTCACCTCCAACCCCCACAAAAGGAAAAAGCCAAATAAAAATAACAAACCTCTCCCATTCTTTGATTGAGATTGCACTATGCATCCATCAGTTCTGTAGCCCAGTTCAATCCATGAAGATGGTCTACCCTCCATTGCCCTATCTTTACCACTTGCCATAAGGTTTTGTGGTTTTTCTCGGTAGAAAGAGTGTATCACTCCCTAGTTTAATTCTTAGACATTTGCTCTTGCGAACTTCATTTTCTGATTGTTGCTGATAAAGTATTAATTTTTGTATATTGAACTTTTTTTATTTTTTTTATTGTTGTGCTGGTTGGGGGTACATTGTGGCATTTATAAAAGTTATTACAATATACCAAATATGTCAAACTTGAATTCCCCCCACACACATATCATTCTCCTTTATCACTCCCCCCAGACACGGAGCGTGTAATGAGTGTACTGATGAACTCGTCAAAACTTACAATTTTTTTCAGCTTTCTATATACCTAATTGTGTCATTTATGAATGACAGTTCTATCCCTTCCATGGCTATCTTCAAAACCCTCTTAGTTCTTTCTCACGCTTTATTACCCTGACTAGGACTTGGGGTACAGTGTTGAAAGAATTGATAGGTGCCAGCATCGCTTTTCACTCCAATCTCAGAAAAAAAGCATTTAGTATTTCTATGTTAAGCATGATAGCTATAGAGTTTTTGTTTGTCAGGGTTTTTTGTTTGTTTGTTTCTTGGGGTTTTGTTCTTAGGTAGATAATTGCATCAGATAAAGGAAGTTTTCTTCTGTTACGAATTTGCTAAGAGTTTTTGTTTAAGTCATGATGACTGATTTTGCATCTACTGAGAAGGTCCTATGATTTGTCTTTTTTTCCCCCCTCTCTGTTTATGTGGGAAATTACGCTGATTGCTTCTTGGATGGTAAAACTATTCTCCTTTTGTTCCCATTGGAGTTTGCAGATTCTAGTAAGTTCAATTCCATTAAAATGGATCTCCTGGGCTCTGCACTTGGACGTGGGGACATGCAAACACCTTCCTGTGCAGAGTTTTAACCCCTCCCTTCCCCTCAATCACAGACTCCACATTCCAGGTCCCAGGAGATGAGCACCTTGAAAACCCACCCAGCCCCAGTGCCTCTCCGCTGGACCCTCACCCAGCAAACCCTAGAGTGCAAGGGCAAATAAGTTGATGGGACTTAAGCCACCTGCTGCTGACAATCCTGAGTCTCCCGGGGTGGGGCTGAGCTCCATCCATGAACGAGGTTCCTTTAAGAGAATCAAGGGCTGAATGCGTCTCTGGGGCTGGAGGCAGAGGTCGCCAAGAATGAAGCTTCTCCCGGTGGCTTCCCCCTCCCGGTCCCCACAGCATGTCCACCCAGGGTCCCGTCCCCCCTCCACACACACACACACACACACAATTCCACTGCTCAGGTACCCGCCTCAACTTAGCAGCAAAACTGCGGGCCCCACTCCAGGCTCTGATCCCAGCCGTGTCCCATCCCGGGTCCGCCCTGCGGATGTCGCACCCCAGCCAGGCCCCAGCAAACCCGGAGGGAGGCCGCGATTAGGGTGGGGGGGCCTCATCCGCATGCAGGGGACAGTGCATCGCGGCCGCCAGAAGCAGACAAAGGCTGTTCCGCCGGCGGCTGCACAGTGCCAGCCTCACCCGCCCGCTGCCCCCCTGTATCTGCCCCGCTGCACAATCCGGGATGGCTTTCCGGAGGAGGAGGCAGCCTCCTTCCCACCCTTGTACGCAGACCCCTTCCTGGCGTCTCCCAGTGGCCTGGTCACCTTGAACCTGGCAGGACTGCCTGGGGAGCCTGTGCCAAAGTCCTCTTCCGCTGAGCCCTGACGTTGACCTGTGGCCAGAAGTCTGCAGTGGGACCCATGCCAGAGCTGGGTGGGATGGGGGGAGGGTGGCCCTGTCCAAAATTCCCACTAGGTCTTGGGTCTAATGGAGGGACTCAGGGGTCTTCATTCCTACTCTAGGCCTCTTTGATGATGGGTACACAGGACGTTCTGGCCCCCAACAGAATTGGGGGGGACAGCCCAGCTCCTCCACAGCTATGCCTCTCTGCCACTTATCAGGACCTGGAGGCCAGGGAAGGGTTTGTGTCTGGGCCCCGGGTTGGGTCAGTGATGGTTACTTGCCTCTGGGCCTCAGTTTCCACCTGTAGAATGGACCAAGCTCCCTTACTCCCCCCCCCCACTATGCCCCACCATCTGGGGACTCAGTGTTTAAGGGGTACACGTGCTGGCCCACGTGTCCCAATGCGCTCACAGCCTGCTCAGCCTCCTAGAGGGCAGGGAACAGTGTTGTCTTGGAGCTCTGCACCCCCCCCCGCCCCCCCGAGACCTGAGACCTCTCCGCACAAACCACGCCAAGCACACACACAACTGGGTGGAACTCAGACAGCGGGGGCCCTGCCTTTGCTCAACCGGGAAGTTCTTCCTAGGTCTGCCTGCAGTTCCTGCCTTCCCTCCCAGGCCAGGATGGGGGCGGGGGGGGGGGGAGTGCCCTTTAAGGGCCGTGGGGGGAGGGGGCTGCGGGCTGGTCCTCCTCCCCCCACTCCCCGGCCCCCGCCGCCCCGGGGGCCCCCTGTCTGGGCCTGGCGCCAGCGCATGCGCCCGCCTGTGGGCGCTGTCCCGTCTGCAAGGGCCGCGAGTTCACCGACAGACTGACGGACCGACGGACTGGCGGCCGCTCGGACGCACGCGGCAGCGCAGGGAGCAGGGACGCGGCGGGACAGTGACATGCCTGGCCACATACAGCAGCCGAGCGGGCGCGGGAACCCGGGCCCCGCGCCCTCGCCTTCCCCGGGTCCCGGCGCCTCGGAGCGGGTGGCGCTCAAGAAAGAGATCGGGCTGGTGAGCGCTTGCACCATCATCATCGGTGAGCGGGCCTGGGGGTCGGGGGTGCAGGCTTGGGGTGGGGCTCAGCCGTCCCAAGCAAGGGGCACCCTGTCTGTGGCTCCAGGTGCTGCCACAGTGGGACTGGGGACAACAAAAGGTCTCCCCAACCTGGGGCTGGCACTGCCCAGCGCACAGGATAGGGCCTGGCTCAGTGGCCTCCGGGCCTCATCGCCGCTCCTCCTCCTAAACATTGCTGTTGGGGAGTTGGGGGGTCGCACTCACCCCTGACGTTCTCCTCCCGCCTGTATGGAGGGGTGCGGACTTGGGTGCTGGGGGCTTTGGCAGGACGGGTACCTTGTGATGATGACTAATCCTGTCTCCAGTGGTTCTGGGCTGTGTCTCCTACTGTGTGCTGCCTACTGAGTGCTGGGTTCAAGTGCTACGCAGTGCAGGTTCTCAAGGCAGGATGGGCTGTGGGGAGGCCCGTCAGGTAGAGCCTGGTGGCCAAGTGACTGGTTAGGGTGGGCAGACCAAGCCTGCCGGAGGGCACCTGAGCTCTGAAGCAGGCGAAGAATGGTCTGTGTGTCCTAACCCCCCAAACACACACAGGGGATTCTGGGTAGGCAGAGAACTCAGGGCGAATGAGAATGGTGTGGGATTTTTCTCCAGCTGGCCCAAGTCATGAATACTGACTTCTAGGGAACCCAGACCAGGTACTTCTGGGCCCTCCTGGAAAGGACTTTTCCTGTTCCTGGTGCACAGGAGGCAGGGACAGACCTGGGTCCTTGACTATTCTTGCCTTACCACCTGCCTGTCCTACCTTCCCCAAGCCAGGCAGGAGCTGCTGGTGCAGCATCACCTCCCTCCCCCTCCCTATAGGCCCCTGGAGATGGAGACATTTGAGGGCCCAGGGCATGGACCAGAATCTTCTGCTACTTCTTTGCTCCTGTGGTAGAAGCTCTGGGGCCAGAGCTGCCATCTGGCTCTCGGCTGTACCCTGCAGAGTTGTCCTCAAATCCAGCCCTGGACAGGTGGTTCCTCTGCCTTGCCCACTCTCCCCTTACAGCAGCATCTCCCAGGAGCTGATCTTGGTCCAGCCCTGGGAGCTTCCTGGCATGGGCACCCCTGACTGTCTATCAGTCTGTCTCACTGGCTGGCTGGCCAGGGTACTGATTTGAGCTTTACCTGGCCCACACCCTCACCAGGGGCTGTCCCCCAGAAAGAGGAAGCTCACATAGCATGGGTGGGCCAGGGGTTCAAGAGGCTGACTGCGTCTGGAGCTGTGGCTCCTGTGCCACGTGGGTGCAGGAGTGACACAGGTCCTCCCAGGTAGTCTCAAGGAAGCCCAGCATCCCAGAGCTGCATCTGACACTCCCTCCCACACACACCTCCCATCCCCTCTTCCTTGGGTCAGCCAGAGGCTGCCAGACTTCCAGCCCTCCAGAAGAGGACCCTGGTGGCAGTGAGAGTGGGAAGAGACGATCACAGACCCTGGAAGAACTCACTCTTGCAACCAAGGTCTGCCCCTCCATCTCCCCTTCCCTTTGGTCCACTTCCCCTTGGCCTCCAGAACTCAGAGGCTGAACTAGGGTGAAGGGTGACTTAACCAACCAGGGGAACACAACTCAGATGACCCAAGCCCCAGCCCAAGGCACTCCATAATGGCCCCGTGAGCCTGACGTGAAGAACTTTGAGGGCTTACAGCGGTCAAGAGGGTAGATTGGGTGGCACATAAACAAGGGGTGGGGGTCCATCCGCAGCTAGGTGACTGGAGAGGACAGCCAGCTCTGCTCTGCCTCCCCACCTCCTCTCCAGCCTCTGCTGCAGACACACCTCCCCCACGGCACCCAGCAGAGCCTCCAGTCCTCTCCAGCCTGGTCAAAGTCGAAAGTCTGTCAAGTGCCGTGTTTTCTCAATTCGAGTGTTGAGAACTTCACATCCTGGCCCCTGATCTATTCTTGGTTGGTACCAGTTGCCAGATCTGTTAGTTGCAAAACTTCCAGAAAGAGACGCCCAGAAGACGCTATCACTCACCTGCACCGTCCCAGGTGGAGCGAGGCTTTCAGGAATGGAGAGACAGGACAGGGCCAGTTACGGGCAAGAGTGAGGCTCCATCTCACATGACTTTAGGACGGTGCCAAAACAAGAGGAGTTGGAGGGGACGAGGCCAGGCTAGCTGGGGCAGGGCTGCACCGATATCATCACACCCGGTATCTGTTCAGAAACACAGTCATTGCTGCAGCATTGGGGAGGTATGTTCTTCCTTTAGCTCTGATTCTGCTGCGCACCTTGCAACATGGGAAATGTGGTACCCATTATACAGATGTAGACATTGAGGTTGAAAGTTGAATGACACTTCTGTTCAGGATTTGGGACCAGATTTGCTTTCAAGTCTCTGTCCAGTGCCCTTACGCTGCTCTGATGCTGTCCTGAATTGGAGGCAGACTCAGACAGTCCTTGATCAGGAGAACGTGGGGGAGGATGGGGACTGGGCGCTCACCCAAGCAGGGTAGGACGAGCTGTCCACTCCACTATGGAAGGGTGAACAGGCAGACAGGGACATTAACTCTCCCCAGCTGTGTACACATAGGGTCTCGAATGCTGACTTGGGGACCTGGGCCGTCTCCCTCAAATGATCCACAACCAAGGATGTACCCAGGCCTGGCAGAGTGGGTCACCCTTGGCCAGGCCCCCTTCCTGCACTCTGCGTGTGACTCGTGTCCAGATCATGCAGGTGTTTGAGGTCAGGCTCAGGTGCATACACTTGAGGGACTTTGGTGGAGGAGGGGTGGATGAACCTCGTCTTTTTAGGAGCAAGTCTCTGCTCCTCCAGCCTTGGCCAGGTCTCTGTCTGTGGTCCCCAGGGCTGGGGGTGATCGGGCCACCCCAGTTCTCTTCACCAGGTTCTCAAGAAAACATAAAAGTACGTAGGAGCTTGTCCGTGCCCCATTTACAGATGGGGAAACTGAGAGCCGAGGCCTCGACCTGTCCAGAGTCAGATGTCCTTGGGGTACTCTGGGGCTCCAGCAGCAGCTCTAGCTACAAGAATGGACCCCTGCCAGCCTTGGACACGCCCACACACATTTATCCAACCGTGCCAGGCACTGTTACAGGTGCTGGATCCCCAACAGGGAGACACTGACATTGCAACACAGCAAACAGGATAAGCAAGCCACGTGTGCGGCCAATGGTCATTGAGAGCAGTGGGGCCAGGAAGGAGGACTCACTGTGCAGAAACGGGGGATGGGGATGAGCTGGGGAGTGGGGTGGGTTTGCCAGCTATGGGGAGGACTTTGCCCTTTCTGTTTAGGAGGCGAGAGCCCTGGGAAGGTTTCCAGCTAAGGGACATGGACAGGACTTATTATGGAGCAGAGGGCAGAGGCCAGACAGGAGACCACTTGAGTCACCTGGACAACAGGCAATGGTGGCCTAGTGCACAGTGGCAGCAGTGGAGTGGCTCAGAGGAGACGGGATTCTGTTTGGAAGGCAGAGCCCAAGGGTTTGGGATGGACTGGGCAGGGATGTGGAGGAGAGAGGTCCATGGTGACACAGGTCACGGCCTGAGCAGACAGGAGATGTTTGTCATTGATTGATCGGGAAAGTCAGGGAGGGACAGGTTCAGAGAAAGGGAACAGGGGAGTGGGGTCCATTTGGCACACGTTTAGTGTGAGATGTTATTGGTTAGATAGTTGGCTGTCTGTACAGGCTGAGTGTAGGGAGAGATTCACACTGGGATGTCAGTTTGGAAGCTGCCCTCAGAAGCAAGGGCTGGATGAGGCCTCCCAGGAGCAAAAGCAGAAAAAAGAAGGAAGGAGCCTCAGGACTGAGCACTGGGCACCAAGCATTTATCAGCCAGGCAAGGTAAGGGAGCTGTAAAGAGCAGCTGGGTGCCAGTGGTGCACGCCTGTAATCCCAGCTACTCGGGAGGCAGAGATCAGGAGGTTCACAGTTCGAAGCCAGCCCCTAGGCAAAATAGTCCTTGAGACCCTATCTCAAAAAAGCCCATTACAAAAACAGGGCTGGTGAAGTGTCTCATCGGTAGAGTGCCTGCCTAGCAAGTGTGAGGCTCTGAGTTCAAACTCCAGCACCGCAAAAAAAGAATTCCAAGAAGTAGCTGCCAGCCAGGTAGGAGGCACGAGGAGGAGGGAGCGATCAACCTGTGACCTGCCAGGCTGGAATAAGGACGATGTGAACGATGGCTTGACTGTCAGAATTGGAGCCCACCACGAGACTCAGCCTCCAGGCTGGATGGGGTGCTCCAGATGGGGTGCAGGTGAGAGTGGCAGAGCCAGGCAGAGGGGGTTCCATATTTCCACTCATGCCTTCTCTTAAAAGAAAAGTGGGTTAGTTGGAGGCCCACGCCACCCAGTTAGCAATCCCAGGCATCTCCTGGATGTCCCCACTCACTTCCGGGAGGGTTCTGCCACGACCTCAGAGGGCACATCTGTCATCCCAAGGAGGAACCTGACATGCTTACTGTGCTGGCACAGGGCACCCCTGTGCTTGGGGTGCAGGCTACAGCCAGGTCTCAGCAGGGTTCTGGGGTCCCCTGGGAATCAGGTCTACAGAGGAGGGTCTGGAGGACTTGGGGGGCGGTGCTTCAAGGTGGACATATTAGAAAGATCTGTAGGCGCTTCCTGCAGCCTGTGATGTGACACACAAGGTCAAAAGCATGCCTCCATGCCCACATGACATAAAGAAACCCTTTCCAGGGTTTTGGGTACCGGGGTTTGGGGTACCAAGGGTGTGGGGCAGGGTTAGTCAGGGTCAAGGTGGGTAATCAGAGGGAGCTGGGGGTGGTGTTGCTGCAGGGCAGCCAATGCTCTGGGAAGAGCCCCGCCACAGTGGAGGAGAGATGAGCCAGTGCTATGTAGGGTGCATCCTGTCTGCCAGCTCTCTGCTGCCCCCTAGCCCAGTGCCCCTCCCCCCAACATATGGGGAAACTGAGGTCCAGAGGGTCAGCACTGGCCTGAGGTCACACAGCTAACTCTAGTGTGTGTTTCTAGGGATAAGTGATGCTGCCAGTGTCTTGGCCTACCTGGGCTTCCCTGTTCCTCACCAAGTCACGTTCCCCCACCAACACACACCATGGGCAGGTGGCTCATTCTGCAGAGCCGACCTCCGCAGTCCACCCCTGTGACCTCCGTGGTTTGCCACTGCCTCCCAGAAATAGGTCAGCTGCACCGCAGAGCCTCAGGGAACAATGGCCCTTTCTTGTTTCTCAAGGAGCGGACTAAGCCCCATCAGGCCAAAATCTTAATGTGATAAAAGCCACCCAGCGAAGGCTCAAGGAGAGAGGCAGGAGGAGAATCAGGGAGGACCACCACCGGGAAGCCCACACTGTCACCTTGCCCTGCTGGCCTCTACAGGGACCAAAGACCAGCTGTCCCATTGGGTGACAGGAACCTGGAGCCCTCAACATCTGCATCCTTCTGGCTGTCAGTAAGACACCTAGTCAAGGCTCAGCAGTGTCTTCTAGCCTGTCCCATGTCCCCTATCCTGGTCCCGTTGGACCCTGAGTTCCTGCCCCTTCCGTTTCCTGGAATCCAGGACGCTCTGAGGACCGGGCTGGCCTCACACCAGGCACATCTGTTGGGCCTGAATGTGGGCACTGAGAACGGAGGCCTGGGCCTCTCACTACCAGCAGGAGGTACCACGACAAGTTGACTCGGGTGGACTGTCCTCCACACCTGCAATTGTTCACATGCTGGGGGTCCCCAACCCTGTCCTTGGCTTCTCCCTGCCCCATCCCATCCTCTGCCACTCACCCCAGCCCACCACCCCTGTGGCTCCTCACTGAGTCCCAGCCACATGCCACGATGGCTCTTCTGCCACCCTCAAGCACAAACTTGGGGCAACTGCTGGAGGTCGTGTGGACTGAGAGGAAGAGAGACCCCAGAGGACCTCAGACATATTGGCTGGCATCCTTAGGTCCTTTGAGCCATGTGGGGAGAAGTCCCGAATGGTAGCCTGAGGCCACGTGTCCAAAGCAATGGTGGATCTCCAGTCCCCGGAGTCTGAGCCACTTGGCACGGAACTGGTGATTTGTGGCCTTTCAGACACCAGCCCAGAAGACAAAATGTGAGGTGTGGTTTCCCCAATGGTTGTACTCTGCAGTCCCACCAGGCTGAGCTGCACACAGGAGTGGGGTCTTCACAGAGTAGGTGGCTCCGAGCACTGGATCCCCCCAGCTCCGACCTCCCCAGCTCCTTCCAAGGCCACCCAGCCCCCGCTGGCTTCCAACTTCACTGGCTTTTGGCAAATCCTGCTCCGCCAGCCAGGTCCTGAGAACCGCTGCCGGATGGAGAGGACTCAAAAGCTCTTTAGAAACTCAACAGCCCACCCAGGTCCTGAGCCCGTCAAGCTAGATGCAGAAGGGAGGCTCCTGGATCTCCCTGGGGGCACAGCTTACCTCTGAGGCTTGAGGCACAGGAATTATTTCATCCTTATCTGGATGTATTTAGGGCTCCTAGGATGTGACCAGAAAACCAAGTAGGGCCTCACGGCTGTCAAGACGGGAAATCTGTGTCGGCCGGGGGCTGGGGGTGGGGGCGGTGCCGTGAAGCCCAAGTGAATGCAGATGGATAGCGAAGCTGTGTCCTCGTCCAGCCCCGCCTGTGCGCCTGCCTGGCAGGTGGAGAAGACAGGCTCTGCTCAGATGCATGTGTGAACCAGGGACCCCGTCAGGTGGGGGCAATCCCTGTCCCACCCAGGTTAGCTCTGGTGTCCATGTGGCCGGTGGCTCTGGAGTCCTCCCTCCACCCCGCCCCCAACAGGTTCAAGTGCAAATCTCCAGTGTCAAGACTCATACCCTGCTGGGCACTGGTGGCTCACACCTGCAATCCTAGCTACTCAGGAGGCAGAGATCAGGAGGATCTCGGTTCAAAGCCAGCCTGGGCAAATAGTTTCTGAGACCCTATCTCAAAAAAAAAAAAAAAAAAATCATCACGAAAAAGGGCTGTTGGAGTGGCTCAAGGTGTAGGCCCTGAGTTCAAACCCCAGCACCTCAAAATAAAAAATGAATTAATTAAAAAAAAAAAAAGGACTCACAAAGACATTGGCTGTGCTCTGTCTTTGAGGAAGATTGGAGCAGAATGCATCGTAGGAGTCTCTCATCCCAGGAACCTGCTGTGCTGACCACAGCTTGATTTCAGAACACTTCCTGTGGTTTTGGGAACCAGAGGGGCACATTCTCTTCTCCCCACCCAAGACACCTTTGTCCTCCTCCCTCCTCTTCTGCCAGGGGCTGGGCTTCCAGAACCACAGGCCATTCTACTTGCCAGAACCTCGGAAACCTGACGCCTCTCCACTCCACCCTGGCCTCTTCCCAACCTCCCCACCCCCTGTGGGAGGGATGGCAGGGACCTGCTGCCCCCACCTCACAGATGAGGAAATGAATCCTTTGTGGCCAGGCATGGATGCTAGCTCAGGCAGCAGGCTGGGTGTCGGTCTGTGAGTTTACTCAGCTCTTGCGATTGAGGTGAGCGAGGGCAGGCAGTGCACCAAAAACCCCCGGATGAAGACGCCAAGCACGTCCCATGTCACACCTGTGTCTCCCTGGGCCCTCACAATAAACCCATTTTACGGGCAGGACTGACGAGGCAAGCATGAAGCAGTCTGAGCTCCAGCTGGGATTTCACCGTGTAAAATTGGGGATAGCCCCAAGGGGAGCAGCAGTCTGTGTCCAGACCGCAGGCGAGACCATGGTTTCTGCACTGCTGTCATTGCCTGACCTATCCTTGCTTTCATGGCTGCCAACAACCTGCAGCCCCCAAGGAGGCACCAATTTCTCTGCCTCACCCCACTGATCCCTGCCCAGCACCAGGCCTGGGCTCTAGGTGGGCGAGGGGCTCCCCAAGAGGGAAAGGGGAAACAGAAAAGAAGTCAGTCAGACTTGGAGCAGGGCTTAGAAGTGGGCAGAGGAGCCCACGACGAGGGCACCAGACTTTGGCACTACCCCCAAGATGCCCCATGGGTTTGAACCTCGGCCAGCAACAGGAGAGAGGCAGGTGGGAGAGTGGTCAAGGTCTCACTTTAGAGGGCACTGGCCAGTGGGCAGGAGGGGATCAGGAGGCTGACAACACCGGGGACCTGGGGAGTGACCACTCTGCCATTGTTCAGGTGGCTGGGACACCTCACTTTCACCGGGGGTGGGGATAGGGGCAGAAGGCACTCAGGGCCCATCTGGCTGGACAAGACACCATTTCCCATGCAGGGACTGAGGGACTGAGGAAGGGGTCAGAATGGGCCTTGCTGGGTTTGAGGGGCCCAGTGGCGTCTGCAGGCCCCCAGGCCACCTCCTCCAGGCAGCCGCCAAGCTGACGCCTCTGTCTCTCCTCCAGGCAACATCATCGGCTCTGGTATCTTCATCTCACCCAAGGGCGTCCTGGAGCACTCAGGCTCTGTGGGGCTGGCGCTCTTCGTCTGGGTCCTGGGTGGGGGCGTGACGGCCCTGGGCTCCCTCTGCTATGCAGAGCTGGGGGTGACCATCCCCAAATCTGGCGGGGACTATGCCTATGTCACCGAGATCTTCGGGGGCCTGGCCGGGTGAGTGTGGTGCTGTGGCGGGTGTGAGAGGGGCGGTCTCTGGAATGGAGTGGCTACTGAGCTGTGAGCCTCAGTTTCCCATTCTACCTCCCACATCTCGGGACGATCTCAGAGTGGGTGGGAAGAAGGGGGCGGGGTGTCTGGCAGTCCTCCAAGACCGGGGGAGGGGCATCAGCGCACACTCCCCACCTGAGTGCTGATGCGGGGAGCACTCGGACTGTCTGAAGCCATTGACAATGCTGGTGACAAGACAAGGAGAACCTGGATTTTAGTAAGCCCCTCATCGGCAAGGAAGGAGGACATGATGTCCCTCCCATGCCCTGCAAAGTCCCTGGGCTTCCTTACTCACCTGTGGACATTTGCTGAACACCTGCGGAAGCCACGGGCTGGGGATGTCATGATAAAACCCCTGTCACATCATCCAGTCGCTCATAGAGCAGAGAGACGCAGCCCTGGGTAAGATTCAACTCAGAGGACCCTAGCTTTGAGGATGTGACAAGAGGCCACGGCCACACGGCAGAGACCAGGGGACAGGCCACCTAGAGAAGGCTCCCAGGAAAGTCACGTGTGCACAGCCTTGCAAGATACACAGGTCATTCTCAGCCCCCTGGCCGGTGAGGAGGACATCCCTCCCTCACAGGTCAGCGGGAGCCAGTGCCGAAGGCTTGGTGCCCGGGCCAGTCTGTCTGTCTGCTGTAGCCAGCGGCAAGCTCACGGTCGTGGCAGGGTTGGAAGACACAGGATTTGCAGCTGTTGTCCAGATAAGCTTAGCCTCCAAAGTACAGGCAGATCTCCAGAATCACTTAGGAACCTGATGCAGGAGTCGTGGTGGCCCATGTGCCACGAGAGAGAGGTGGGTGCAGTGGGTGACACCTTTTGAGAGACTCTATAGATGGTGATCCCTGGGATGAAGAGGGAGAGACCTCTGGATGGGACTTGTCATATTGATAGGGTCTGTAATATGTCAAGGGCAGGTCCTGGGTGGCAGGCCTGAGACCCAAGAAAGCAGGGCACTCAGGGCCAGGATCCCACCCCGGGGCAGGAGGACTACCAAGCTAAAATGTTCTAGAAGCCAGGTGTGGGGGGGGTTACACAAAGGAGGGATAGGAGGCAAAGCTGAGGACCCAGAGGAGCCCAAGGAACTCGGTGACCTAGAGGCGGCTGATTTCTCTCATGAGAACACACCCTCAAGGGTGAGCAGGAGCTAGGACCCCTAAGGGCAGACTCTTCCTGGGTGCAGAGCCGGAGTCCTGCACAGGTGAGATGCTGGTGGGAGGGACTAAGTCACTCCCCTCCCACGGCCAGGGCCCTTTGTAGGGGGTGGGAGGACAACCACTGTGACTCAGGACGCGCAGCCTCCAGCCAAGGGGCCTCGGTGGTCATGAGGAAGGTGTTTGGTTCTCAGTTCTTCCCAACACCTTCCCAGAGCCGACCTGGGACTCCAGCAGCCCTGCCAGCCCTTGGGTGTTGGTCCCAGCACTGCCCAGTCCTGGGTCCCGTAGGCCAGGAGTGGCTGGGGATGCCTGTGCCACTCTGGCCCTCACTGCTTACAGATTCTTGCTGCTCTGGAGTGCTGTGCTTGTCATGTACCCCACTAGCCTGGCTGTCATCTCCATGACCTTCTCCAACTACGTGCTGCAGCCTGTGTTCCCCAACTGCATCCCCCCAGCCACTGCCTCCCGCTTGCTTTCCATGGCGTGCCTGAGTGAGTGTCTGCATTGCCCTGGCTGGACCTCCGTCGTCCCCTGCCCCATCCACCTGCTGCTTTCGGCTGCTATGGGGTGGGGGGTGCCAGTCTTCTGCTGCCTTGGGTTTGCCCTGGCTGGGCCCACTATGACGATCGCCACCTCGGGCGCCCACTCCTTTCCCTCCTCAGTGCTTCTGACCTGGGTGAACAGCTCCAGCGTGCGCTGGGCCACAAGAATCCAGGACGTCTTCACGGGAGGGAAGCTGTTGGCTCTGTCACTCATTATTGGTGTTGGCTTTGTCCAAATCTTCCAAGGTAGGACTGGGTGGCAGTGTGGGGAGGGAAGGGGGTACTGAATTGAAACTTCGTGTCTGGACCCTCAGGACACTTCGAGGAGCTGAGGCCAAGCCGTGCCTTCGCCTTTTGGATGACACCCTCTGTGGGTCACCTGGCCCTGGCCTTCCTCCAGGGCTCCTTTGCTTTTAGTGGCTGGAACTTCCTCAACTATGTCACCGAAGAGCTGGTTGACCCTCGCAAGTGAGTGGAACACTTAGTCCAGCACTGGGGCGGAGAAAGGAGAGGTGACCAGCTGCTGGAAGAGGTGGCCTGCCCACACAGACCCACCTGCAGTCAACTGAGGCTCAGATTGGTCACCCACTTGCCACCCTGGCTGTTCACAGGAACGGTCCTGGACAGAAAGCCAGTTCTAGCTGGCCCCCTTCTGTGTGCCTGCAGCCACATCAGGCAGGACCCCTAGCGGGGCCTCAGAGAATGTATCATCACAAAGTGATTTGCATTTGGCTCCATGATGTACATATGTACACAACATGGTCCCCACAGATGAAGCCAAAGACTCCGTCTGATGCTCAGCCAGGGACCTCGACAGAACAGTCATAGCGGAGGGGGCTGGGGAGGAGGGAGGGTCCCAGGGGAGACCCTAGACTACAGACTGGGCTCCAGGGACACAGGGAGGGTTTCCAGGCTGACTGTGGCTGTCTGCAATTTTCTCTTTAGGTACAGACATTACTTAAATCTCACCCTCAGGCTAGGATTACGCAGCCATGTCCTCCTTTACTATTCCTTCTATTTGCTTGTGCTGGGGGTAGGGGAGGCAGACAGCAGTATTCTTGTGTCCCCAGCTGCAATGCTACCCCTTTCCCGTCCCAAGACCCCCAGCAGAAGCAGGAGACGGAGACTCAACACCGCTCCTGTTGCTGGGTTTCCTGGCCCCCACCCTGGGCCCCATCCCCCCCTGCCAGGGGCTGACCCACTCCACTCACTGCCCCCAGAAACCTACCTCGTGCCATCTTCATCTCCATCCCCCTGGTGACCTTCGTGTACACATTCACCAATGTCGCCTACTTCACCGCCATGTCCCCCCAGGAGCTGCTGTCCTCTAACGCGGTAGCCGTGGTGAGTCAGAGCCCCTGCCCTGTCCCCAGACCCTGCCCCACCCCCTCCACCCCCCCAACCCCCCGCCCCCCCACCCCCGCCTCAACCTCACACTCACACCCTCTTCTGTGCCCACTCAGACCTTCGGGGAGAAGCTACTGGGTTACTTCTCGTGGGTCATGCCTGTCTCTGTGGCACTTTCCACTTTCGGAGGAATCAATGGCTACCTGTTCACCTCCTCCAGGTGACTGGGCTGGGGAGAGGGAAATCAAGGTGAGGCAAGGAAGGTACCCTGGGGTGCATGGGCCTTGCCGGGGACCATGGAAAGAGAAAACTAGGACAACAAGCTCGCTAGTTACAACTGTCTGACTCCAACTCCGAGGTAAAGAAAGCAAGAGGGAGGCAAGCTAGATGAAGGCAGGACTGTCCAGTGGGGCTGGGAATGCCTAGAGCCGGCAGTCAGGGGTGGCAGCTGGAGAGGAACATCAGCTCAAGAGCCGAGACCCAGGATCTAGCCAGTGCGGAGCTTCCAAGGCTGGGCTCATGGCCCTTAGCCATCTGCCTCTGTCCCCAGGCTATGCTTCTCTGGAGCCCGGGAAGGTCACTTGCCCAGCCTACTAGCCATGATCCACGTCAGACGCTGTACCCCCATCCCCGCCCTCCTCGTCTGTGTAAGTTGGGGGACCCGAGCCAGGCAGGATGTGGAGCCAGGGCCACCCAGCCCTGGGGGGCCCTCCTGGGTAATGGCAGGGGTGAGCCCCTGGCCGCGGTGAGCAGCCCATGACGGGTGGGGAGGACGGGGACTCAGCAGAGCTCCTGGCTTGAGCGGGCAGGAGGCCAGCTGTCAGCCCAGGTCCTCTCCCAGTGCGGGGCCACAGCAGTCATCATGCTTGTGGGAGATACATACACACTTATCAGCTGCGTGTCCTTCATCAACTACCTCTGCTATGGTGTCACTGTCCTGGGCCTGCTTGTGCTACGCTGCAGGCGGCCGGCGCTCCACAGGCCCATTAAGGTGAGGCCCCGGAAGGGTGGGAGGAACAGCTGGCTGAGGTTCTGGAAACTGTCAGGGCCACCCCTTCATTCGAGCTGGGCACCAGGGGCCGGTGTGGGTGGCAGCAGTGACTGTGACTGCACCTTTTGCTATGGGCTGGGTCTTTCTTGTACTGACACTGTCCCTGCCCACAGCCACCCCACTCCCAGCAGGGAGAGCTCACATTACTCCCAGTCTACAAAGGTCACACAGGCTGCTGGTGACACAACTGATCCCACAGGAAAACAGAAAACAGAAGCCCCTAAACCCGGCTGAAAGAAAAGCCCTCCACTTGCATATGAATCCTTAAGTAGAGAAACACTCAGGGCCTGAGCTACGAAACACCAAAAAATAGCTGACCTGTAGCCAAGTGTAAGCAGTAAGTCTGTACACACCACGTGTGGACTCAGAGCTGTGCAAACTCAGTTTGGCCAACTGGTCAACCCGTGAACTGGCATCCAGCATACTGGGCTGCCACCCAAAGTGCTCTTTTGGGGCCCCCGCTCCCAAGAAAAGAAGAAAGCATCCCCAAAGCCCCAGGGTGAGTGGGTAAGAGAGCTGGGGCACCAGGGGCGTTCCCGTTTGCTCTCCCCCAGGTGAACCTCCTCATCCCTGTCACGTACTTGGTGTTTTGGGCCTTCCTGCTAGTTTTCAGCTTCATCTCGGAGCCCGTGGTCTGTGGGATAGGCGTCATCATCATCCTCACAGGTGTGCCCATTTTCTTCCTGGGCGTATTCTGGAGAAGCAAACCAAAGTGTGTGCACAGACTCACAGGTGAGCCAGGTGACTGGGTCACCCTGGGGCCCAGGACTTTGGAGAGAAGAGCTGGTTCTAGGATCTCACACAAAGCAGGGTCTCCCCACTGCTCGGCCACTAACAGAGGAGCCTAGCCATTCTCCCATGTCCCCATGAGATGTAGACATGTCAGGAATCCACCAGCAGATGGAGAAGATCCCTGCTCAGGGGAGGTGTCCGCAGGTGGGTCACCCTTGCCCCAAAGGATCTTACAACCCCTCAGATCCACCTGTCTGTCTGTCCTCAGAGTCCTTGACACGCTGGGGCCAGGAGCTGTGTTTCGTGGTTTACCCCCAGAGCTCCCCTGAGGAGGAGGAAAATGGTCTCATGGTCCAGTCCTCCCCACTGCCCGCCACGGACAAGCCCTTCAAGATGCAGTGAGACGTTTACAGAGACAAGGCAGCTGTTTCTGTTTACATGTTGTTTATTGAGGTGGTGTTTTTTGCAAAAACTTTTTTTTTCTGGAAAAAAAAAAAAAAGAAAGAATTGCAACTGTTAGAGGTCTGCCATAAGGAAGCCCCGCTGATGTGAATGGGTTTCCTGTTGTAGTGCTGCCCTGCTAGCTTTTCCTGGAAAGACCTAGAAATAAACAGGGCTGGTTGTTGCTTGTGCTCAGGGGAGTCCCTGGGGGACCCAGAGGGGGGCAAGCAGTGGCGAGCCTCACTGGGGCACGCGTGGTGCTTGCTGGGATGCTGCCACGCAAACCATGGACAGGGGTCATGGAGGAAGCTCTCAGCAGTGGGGTTCTTGGCCACATGACCCAAGGCTGGTTCTGTGGGGCCCACCAAAGAGGATAGGGAGCAGCTCCGTCAGCTTCTCACTCCAGTCTTTCCATGCTAACCTGAGCTCAGCCACCAGGGGAGCCCTGGGAGTCCTGGTTGGGATTCTCTCTCCCCGTAAATCACCAGAGTGAATGTCATAACTTTTGTGCAACAGCCTCTCCTGGCTTATAGGTGGGAAATAGGCCCCAAGACAGCCTGGGATGGATCTGCCATTGTCAATTGATACCCTGGCCTCTGTCCCCTGAGAAAACCTAAAACAGCATGTCCTAGGAGGCCTCGTGGCCTGCAAGAGACTCCACAGTCCTCTCCCCATGTCATGCCCTGCCACACTATCTGTGAGATGGCCCTCACAGCCAGAGGGCAAAGGGCACCAGCCTGGCCAGGCTCATGCTGCCACCCGAGGCATGAGAAGGGGACAGAAGCCTCCTAGCCCAGCTGAGTGGGAGGAGGGCTCGGTGTAGACGGAGCCGTCACTGTGGACGTGGTCTCCTACCTCATGGCCCTTTTTGGTCCTTGCTAAGCTCCTAGCTCAGCTCAGAGGGGGACAGATGGTGGCACCCAGGATGACAGATGAGAAGCACTGGCTCCCTGCTTCTCCACAGATACATTCCCAGATTAGAGCTGGGAGGCGGGTGGGCGTGAGTCCCCAAGGTGCTTGTGTATACCAGGACCCTGAAATCGGGCTCAACTCCGACTCTTTCCCTGGCCAGCCCTGCAGCCCAGCACTGTGGGCTTGTTGATGCAGCCGGCTGGCAGAGGCCTAGCCCCTCCATGGGCCGCTGGGGGCCCCACTCTGTAAGAAAGGACGCAGAGGCAGGGTAGAAATGACTGTGTATTCCCTGGTTACAAAGCGGGGCTGTGGCGGTCGCCAGCATGTCCACTGGGTCAGCAGACCAGCAGGGCCTCGTCGTCACTGGTCTCCAACGTTGGGGAACAGGGTGAGGAGGAGCTCCTGCAGCCCCCCAGTGGCTCTGGCGAGTGGGGGCCTTGGATGCTGCTGGCGGTGGGAGCCTGGGAGTGGCGGTCCTCGGCAGAGCAAGGCTCGGGAGGCATGTCCACAGCGGCCAGGCCATCCCCAAGAGTGTCCCTACAGGCCTTTCTGTCCTTGTCCACTGGCTGGTGCTCTGGGTCTTGAGAGCCTGAGGGTGGGGGTAGCACTGAAGGTTCCACCTCCGGTGCATGACCAAGGGCACTGGGAGGCCCATCCCCAGCTGCCCTGGGACCGCCTGTGTCCGAATGGGGTGCTGGAGGGTCTGGGGTGGTCCCCAGTGCCGGCTGGAGGAGCCCATCGCCCAGCACCGTCTGGGAAGTGCGTGCTGCAGTTAGCAGCGGGATCTGGCCTCGAGGTGCCCGGGGCCGGTGGAAGAGCCGGTTCCAAAGGCGGCCAAGCCTACCGCGGGAGGGCCCCCTGCGAGAGGCGTGCCGGCGCATCTGTCGCCTCATAGCTGTGCGGAGGTTCTGTAGCACCGAGGCCTGGAGGGCGGGCAGCAGCTGAGGTGACCAGGCCACTCAGGGACAGAAGTCAGCACACCCCCAAGGGACCGGAGACCAACTCGTGCCCCTCCATCTGACCAGGTCATCCTGCTCAGACCTCCTCTCCCTCTCCTTCCACCCTTGGATCAGCCTAGGCCCACCCAGCCCCTTGGCCTTCCAGCCTTGGGTGTCCTCTGAGTCCTAGCATGAATCCTGTAGGGTTGCACACCCTGGAGCTCACCTGGGACGCACTGTAGACGGGAAAGTCCTCCACGGGTGGGATGAGTCCCTGCGCGATGAGCTGACCGTAGGACGGGGGTGCCTCCCGCCGCACAAACTCAGCCTCCAAGCGCGTCATCTGTGTCTCAAAGGCCCTGAAGCAACGGGAGAAGGGAGGTATAACAGGGCTGGCCAGGACCTGCCACAGCAACAGGACCCAGGGCCCCCACCCCTTCACCTGGACACCGTGAGATGCTCAGAGCCCAGCACGCACACAAGCTTACATCAGCCAGGACTCGGTTTACAACCCCGCAGCTGCGTGCACAACGAGCCCAGGGCCTCTCTGCAAAGAAATAAAGGAAGCGAGGCTGCAGGCCACACGTGGTGCCCACCTGTACTCTTGTGTGCGCAAGGAGTACAGCTTGAAGGCGCAGCCTAGTGCGATAACGAGCAGCAGGCCGCACACCAGGCTCCCGATGAGGGCGGCGGTGATGACTTTCCGGGGCACGGCGGCCAGGCAGCCGTGTTCATCGCTGCCATCCTGACAATCCTCCTGGCCGTCACAGCGCCAAGTCTCAAAGATGCACAGGTTGGTCCCACAGTGGAACGTGCCAGGCTGGCAGGAGAAGCAGTTCTTCTCATCAGCACCATCAGGACAGCTTTTCTGGTTATTGCACCGGTCAGCAGGTGTATAGCACAGGCCACTGCCACCCTCACAGGGGTACTGGTCAGGTGGACAAGCTGGGCAACCCTGCTCGTCGCGGCCACTGGCACAGTGCCACCAGCCATCGCAGCGCTGAGGCTCTGAGAAGCAGCCCTGGTCACCTGTGCTACTGTCGTCCACCTCGCGGCCGCTCCCACATGGCTGTTCCCAAGGGAGGCAGTAACCCTTCACCTGATAGGTGGCATTGAAGCCGTGGCCAGCGCTGCGGGCACGGGCGTGGTACGCCACAGTGAGGCGGCCCTGGGCGGCCTCGAGGCTCACAGGCCGGTGGTTGCTTCGGTAGGACAGGGTCTGCAGCAGGCGGTCACCACGCTCGCCCAGGCCTTCGTACACCTGCACGTAGTCATCGTAGCCCAGCCGAAGCTCCAGCTGCAGCAGTACACGCCGTGGGTCCTGTGTGTCCACCAGCCACGTGCAGTGCAGGTCTGAGGGCCCCCGGGCTGCGCCAAAAAGGTCTGGGGAGGCGAAGGAGCCGTAGAAACTGCCCAGGCGCCGGCCGCATGCCAGGTCGGGGCAGCCGGCCTCATCAGAGCCATCACCACAGTCCTGAGTGCCATCACAGCGCCGTTCTGCAGGCAGGCAGCGCGTAGAGCGCGCCCCGCTGCAGGGGAAGGTGCCCCCGGGACACAGGCTGCCCGGTGGCTCGGACGCAGGTGCTGAGCAGTTGCCCTCATCGGAGCCATCTCCGCACTCATCCACCGTGTTGCACTGCCACGGACCTGGCAGGCATTTGCCATTGTCACAGCGGAATTCGTCTGCCTGGCAGGACACCTGGCCCAGCTTCCCTGGGGACAGAGAAGGGGGCAGGAGGCAGTCAGGGGACAGCAGAGCCTCCCTCCAGCATGGAGCCTGGGTAGGTGGGGTTGCCGACAGATAGACCCCTGGGATGCTGGATTCGGTTCAGTCCCTGAGCTGGGATCAAGGCTAAGGAACAAATCCTCCCTGTGGCCACACCCGTGAGGTGGGTCTGCGGCCTGGAGAGGCTCTGAGACAGCGGCATGACAGTCTCACTCTTATCCTAAGATTAGCAGAGCTGGTCAGGGGGCCCTGCAAGGTGCTGTGTGCCCTACACTGCATGCCGGGTGATGTCCCTGTCCCGCCCACAGCCATCATCACCTCGGATGTAGGAGAGACGGAAACCCTGGGCCTGGCCGGAGCTGGAGGCGTCCGAGTGGAAGAAGATCCAAACGTGGTCACGGGGAGAGATGAAGGCAGGCGGGATAGCAGAGCCGCAGAGCCGGAAGGCCTCCTGGCGAGGCGGGGCAGCTGGGCCCAGCAGGAGCCAGTCCAGGGAGCACTGGTGGGACTCCTCCACGTCGAAGTTACGGAAACTACAGTGACAGAGGGACCCGTGGCATGGGTGGGCGGCAGAAGCTCCATGCTCAAGAATCAGTGGTCAGCCTAGAGCCCAAGGCCAAGGATGGCCAGCCCTGCCAACACCCACCACCCCTGCCCTGTGACTCAGTCCTTCAGTATCTACTTTTTCCCACCAGGGATCTCAGGGAAGCTCCGTAAAGAATCGTGACACTTGTAGATGGCATCTGTCACACTCAGCTATTCCGCACACGCACACACCTGCCATACGGACTCGCCTAGCACATGTGGTCCCCACCCCCTTACCTGATGGTGATCATGTCACCACGGTCTCCCTGGATGTACCAGCTGCAATTGGTGCCCGGAGGGTAGTTGAGCGGCCAGGCCGGGCTGTAGATGACACCACGCCGTTCTGTGTGCTGTTCCAACTTCCCGCTGCAGGCGGCTGTGGGAAGAGGATGTTGACAAATACCTGCCCCATGTTTGGGCTGAAAGTGGATGTGGGGGTGCTCGAGCACCCCCCACGTGGCTTGAGGATCATGGGCCTCTCCCATGGTGGAATCAAGGTCCAGCCAAGGGTAGCCATGGTTACGGGGAAGGCTACAACTCCGACTTCATGGAAGCCTTGTGTCTGGGGAGGTCAAGGGGAGTCCACCTGGAGTCAGGACAGACCGGCCCCCATCCCAAGCTGTACTTCAGAGCCTAGGTCCTGTCCCCAACTCTGGCAGGACTGGAAGTGGGCCACCAGCTTGGCAGGCAGCATCTCCAAGATGCAAGGTCACAGCCTCCTGCTGGAGACTCAGTGGAGAATTCTGTACTTCCAGCTTCCTAGGCCTGCATGGGGCATCTTTCCAGGGTTCCCTGCCTGCTTTTTCAGGGTTTGTCAAATGCAGACCTCCATGCCAGGAGGACAGGGGCTTTGCTCCCTGATACATATTTACTGAGCACCTGCTTCACACCAAGCAAAAGTGAAAAGCAAGCTGGGCACCATGACTCACCCGTATAATCCCAGTTACTCAGGAGGCAGAGATCAGGAGGATCGTGGTTCGAAGCCAGCCTGAGCAAATAGTTCACCAGACCTTATCTCAAAAAAACCCATCACATAAAAAGGACTGGTGGAGTGGCTCAAGGTGTAGGCCCTGAGTTCAAGCCCCAGTACTGAAAAAAAAAAAAATGATAAGCATGACACAGGCAAACACCCTGCCTGTGGACTCACGGGTGGGATGAGAGCAGAGCGCCTGGTGGAGTGATTACAAAAAGACCAGCAGGGTCAGGATGTGCTGAGGTCCTTTGGTGAGCTCAGTCCTAAGCATTTGCAGAGTGTCAACTCTGTGCCAGGGTTGAGTGTGGAACATCAGCCGGTGTGAGCCAGGAACCACGCCACACCACTGGCCTGGCTTTAACGACACACTGTCCACACCCTTGCTTCCCAGCTGAGCCCACCCAGCATGGGGGCTGCAAGCCGGCTTGGGTAGCACACTGGGCCTGGCCCTGCCTTGCTGTACCCAGGCCTTCCCAGAGCCAGGCAGTGGACCTTGCACTTGTCGCACCCCTCTCACGGCCCCACAAGCCTCACAATGGTAGTCACTGATCCAGCCTGTGACAAAGGCAGAGACCATTTTACAGATGGAGAAAGTGAGGCAAGTGGTAACCCTTTCCCCCAAGCCAGTGGTACCAGCACCTCACCCTCCCACTGCCAGCACCTTCCACCGCCACCCCAGAAGCATATTCTCTGGGTGTCAAGAGTCTCTGGAACCCCAGACCGGGGCAGCTGCAGAAAAGAGGGACGCCCCCAACCACCTTCCATGCTCTTAGGACAAGCCCACATTCACCCACCCACCCACCCTTCCCATAAATCCCCCCGCATGCCCTGTGGTCCCAGCATGGAGGGAGAAAGCTCCTGTGGGTCCTGGGTGCTCCCTGCCCTCCTGTCACCATCGCTCACTCCTGCTCAGATTCAGCCCTCAGCTCCAGGGCCCCTTCCCAGGGAAGTTCTCCCCAGGCCACCTCTCACAGCTCTGTCCTCTGCCCCTCTTCTCCCCAGCCCACGCCACAGCAGCAATTTCCCTCCCTCTTGATTCTGGGAATGTCTGGCTCCCAGCAGAGGCAGGCTGGGATGCTCTGGCCCAAGGCCTTGTCCCCAGGAGCCTGCATGGTGCCTGAGACATGGTGGGTGCCTGGTACAGAGCCAAAGACCTGCTGGGTATCCTGAGGCCCACGCAGTGGGGGCCAGGTGAGCCAATGCTATTTAACTGCAAGGTGGTCACCCCCACTGATGGTCCAAAGGGCATCAGAAAGTTAGAACTGAAAGTGACCCTTGGCCCTAATGCAGGGCCGGCCACCATCATCAGAGCCTCCATGGTCCCAGTCAGCAACATACAACCCAGTACCACTGTACCTGGTGTTCACTCGTGACCCTGGGTCACAGCTGATTCCTCACCTGAAAACCAGGAGAGCAAGTACGGAGCAGTGGTCTCACCCAGATGCAAAAGTGCCGCAGCCCCAGCCTGGTTCCCACTGAAGGGTGAGACCCAGGCTGTGTGCACCCCACAGCGATCTGGGATGACCTGCAATGACCTGGAGGTCTTTCCTTCCAGAGGGTTCCAGACAAGAGGTCCTGGGAAGGAAAGGCCCAGGAGAGCTGGGGTGCATCTTCCTCCCACAGTGGGTTTAAAGCACGTTAGCTGGAGCACCAGGCCAAAGTCAGTGAGTGTGGGAGCTGCCCGTGTTCACCTGGTCCCTCAGTGTCCAAAGGCAGGGCCACCCCTCACAAGAGGCCTTCCTCAGGGGGTGGACAAGACCTGCACATCTTGTCAGGGCCATCACAGAGACCAGGTTCCCATCTATACTGGTTTTCCAAGACCAGTGAGGCCCTCACCTCAGGTGTCAGGGACACCCTGCCTCCTCCTGCCTGCCTCAGCCAGATGTCTGGCCCCCCAGTCAGGGGTGGGGAGGCCTGTCAGTCCAGGTGACTGGACCACTGCCAGCCCATCTGTGCCCCTGCACAAGACCTGAGGGCTCCTGTGCTAGCCCAGAAATTCCCACACCAAGAACATCACAGGCCCCAGGCCTCGGTTAAGTGTTCACTCTTCTCCAAAGGGGGCCAGGGTTCTGCAGCTGCCAGCCTGGCCAGCCTCACGAAGAGGGAGCACGGAGCAGGAGGAATGGTGGGTTCTGCTCCGGGACTAAATGCCACTTGGCCATAGGCCTGAAGGATGTGCCCAGCTCAGCCAGCCAGTCCCCATTGCACTTTCTCTGCGACAGCAGCCTCATCCCCACCCCCGTGAACTATGACAGGGTCCAGGCTGGGATCAGAGTCATAAACTCAGGTCCAGGTCCAAATGCCAGACATGCCCTCTTGCCCTGGTCCTCAGCTTCTCCATCTGTGAAATGGAGTCAGTTTGCGTTGCTGGTCTCAGGAAACATGAGGGAAGCGACAATCTTGAGGCAGACATTCAGTGAGGAGTTGTGGGGGGCACACCAGTGGGGTCAGGGGCCTCCAGGAACGCCCCATGGGAAGCGAGGGCTGTGATAGGGCATGTAATGGCAGGTGAGCAGACAGAGATGGAAGGCCTGTTGTATTTGGGAGATACGATGCAGGAGAGAGCTCGGGGCTGTTGGGGACTGGGAAGGTCTGTGAGCCTTAAGTGCAGGGGACCTGCCTTGGCTCTGGCGGAAGACTGCCTCGCCCTCGGTGGCCAGCTCAAGTGGGAAAGGGATGACTGGGCACTTTTATGGGTAGCATCTTTCTTTCCTGGTCCAAAGAGTCGTCAAATACACCTAAGAGGACAGGAGCAAGGCGTAATTTGCAGATCCAATTCCAGAGGTGATCAATACTCCAGACAACCTACAGGTGTAATGCAATGACAAGAGCCAGAGCCCCACCCCAGCCACTCCGGGAAGTGGTCAGGTGACAGGAGGACAGCATGACTGTGTCCCAGCCACCATCCAGGGCCACAGTGGTGGCTGGAGAAGGCAGGAGATGGCTTGTTCCACCCAGGCAGAACCTAGCATCCCTGGAGCAGGGCAAGGGTTAAGGGGCAAAGCCTCGGAGGCCACCAGGCAGCCCTGCCAGGCCCTCGGGAGAATCTGAGCCAAGTAGGGCTGACAGGGACAGGGGGCTGGTTCCTGATCCAGGCGCCTGTCTGCATGGTATACAGAGATAGCCCTGAAAACGCAACACCATCGTGGGGACACAACTGGACTGCAGGGCCTCACCCTACCACTGATGCCCAGTGTGCTGAGGGCACCACCCATGGGCACCAGCCTGTGAGCCACAGCCCCAGAAGGTGAGCAGATGTACGCCGCTGTGCCCTGAGGTCTTCACAGCTGAGAACAACCAAACACGAGGACCTGAGTGGGAACGTGTTTGTGGACGATGATCAGGCACCCCGCAGCGGAAAGGCTGGCCTGGGTCGTGTTTGAAACATGTGAACCCCCTTCCCCCCCTCACCCCAGTCTACCCTGGTCACAGACACCAGACCCGGCTAGGCCAAATTTCCAGTATTTTCCTGGAAGTCAGGATGGGAAACCAGGCTGTCCTCCGTGGCTGGAACACCACTTGGGGCTGCTGGTCAGTGCTAAGCAAAACAGGGCCCCAGGCTAGCCCAGATCAGCAAATAGTAAGGTGGACAGAGGCTGAGACTTCAAGATAAGCAGGGTGACCAGTCCTGGACCCCTAATTCCTGATCGCCATCAGCCAGGATCCCTCTCTCCAAGAGCTCCTGCTCCTAACACCTAAGCCGGGCCCCACGCAGAAGTAGAAACCCCAGGTAGCTCATATCCTCCATGCAACAAATAGATGGCACAGAAATGTAAGGTACCCACACTGGCGACCCCACTCCGTTCCTGAGTACAGCCTAGCCGCCACACCTGGACCCAGTGTTTTATACAGACACTCAGGTGAACCTCAACATCTCTGTAGGCTTTGCTGGAGATGGCCACATGTAGGCTGAACCAGCAAGAGATGGTGACGTTTATCAGGGTGCATCACTTACAAAACAGGCTCCCGGAGGCCCCCTTCTCAGAGCATTCCTGGTGGTGGCCTGGACCTAACCGTTCACGTCAGGCAGCTAGAGACCACCCTACGGCCCAAGTCCCCAAAATTATTCAAGATGACCAGCTTCCAAGCTACATGCGTTCCTCCTTGAAGAATGGCCTCTGCCTTCTCCTCACTCCTGCTTCTGACCTAACCTGGGAATCGCCCTGGCCTTGTTGTGGGGTGACAGGACGCCTTCTCTCAAGAAAACTCATCAACTCTTTTTTCAGTGGCATTGATCGCTCCGTGATGTCAACCGTCCTACCCGTGTTAAGTTAAATGGTTTGAGGTCACCATCCTACAGAAGAAGAAACTGAGGGCCAGGAAGTTGAAGCTTGCCCAAGACCAAACAACTTCTTTATGGCGCAGAAAAGATGTTCACAGTCTGGTTTTCCCAGCAAAAGGCCAGGTGGCCACAGGAGAGAGCCAGAACCGGAAAGCCATCCTCAGAGGTCACTAACCCAGAAGAGCCAGGAAGAAGAGCTACATACCTAGGGCAGGAGCTGCGCTGCTCAGTCTCCCGGTGAGAAAGAGGTTCACTGTGGGGACACAAAGAGACGTGAGTGGGGGCCCTGACGGGTGCGGGACAACACAGGCACACTCCATGCTGTGCCTGCTCACCCCTCAGGGCAAGGCCCAGGGCTCTGCCAGACCAAGTCCTGCTGCGCAGGCCAAGGTGAGAACCGGGGAGTCTCAGGAACCACTGTGGCACACCCACTGCTGGAGATGCAGCCTGGCTGTCTTGGACCATCAAGCCTTGGGGCCACCCATCAGGGAGAGGCCTTGGCTTAGCCCAGGTGGGGGCCTGCCTGTCAAGAGGGCTCCTCCTACCTCAGAGGACTTGCTCCCTCCCAGGGCTACTCCCAGCCTCCCCATCAGCCCAGCAGCCGGGGAGGGAGTGGAAGAAATTCTGATGGTCCGTATTTAACAGGGACGCTTGGCTGGTGGGCTGACAGTACTCATGCACGGTACTCCTTCCTGTGCCACGCCAACCAAGACAAGAGAGACTTCTCCTGCCCCGCCTCAAGTGCCCACCTCCATGGGATTGACTTTTGTTTTACCTACTGCTTTGCCTCTAGGATTCTGGGCCCAGAAACAGGATGTAAGTGGAGCTAGAAGGCACATCTGGGGGCTGGCAGAGGGGCTCAAGAGGTAAGAGCACCTACCTAGCAAGTGTGAGGCCCTGAGATCAAACCCCAGTACTGCCCCCCAAAAAAGGATTGGGCAAGCCTAACTTCCCGGGGCCAGGGTTCACATATCCCCTGTGAAGGCAGCTAAGGAACCAGGAACACCTCTGGAGCGGTCATCCCCCGCCTGTCACCAGGGACCGCAGCTGCAGTTCAGGACCACCACCACTGTGTGGGTGCTCTGAGGGAGGGGGTTCTCATTTAGACTGGGGGCTCACACCGCTGGAGCAGGGGTCTCCCCACACTCAGAGCTCCCTGCTCCTTGGGCGGCAGAGGACCAACTTAGAATGAGGTTTTTTTTCACTTTGTCATTTCAGCAGTTCAGCAAATCTGTCAGGTTACAGAGCCCTCACGGGTGAGTGACATCCCAGGGTGTCCCCTAATGACCCTAAGCTAGCTCTTCCAAGGGCCTTCCTTCTTCATCAACGTAAATAAAGCAGCCATGTGAGTTCAGGATTCAACTGGCCAGCACACAGAGCTGGGGAAACCTGGACAGAAAGACTCCAGGGCAGGGAAGAAGCCCTCCCACCCAGGTGGCAGGCCTGCCCAGTGCCACCCACCGTCAACGTCCCCCTCACACCCCCCCCAGGAGGAACAGGCCACCCTCTGGGTTGGAAAGACACAAAGAGAAAATGAGTCACCCTCGCAGCTGCCGGGTCGGCATCCTCCACCAGCGCCATCCCGAGTCCCCATTGGGGCTGAGCACCCGGCCCGCCCCAGCTCCGGGCAGGAAACGGTTCCTGCTCCAGGGCGCAGCGGGCCGGGCCTTTGTCCGCGGCTCGGAGGACCCGATGGCCACCAGGCCTGGCGACAAGCCCGTGTGGGGAGGCGGGACCCCGCGGTCCCCTTGCACGCACCGGCCACCCGCCCGCGCGCCGCTCTCCCGGGCTCCGGGCCGCGGTTCCGAACCGCCCTCCAGGCCCAAGGCAGGCCTGGCCCTCGCCCTCGCCATGCGGGATGGACTGGACCCCGCCCGGGTGGCCCTCGCGGCCCACTCACCCAAGCAGACGACAGCGAGCTGCGCCCGGGCGCCCGGCGCCCCCTCCGGCCCCGCGGCCGCCCGCTTCTCCATGCCGGGCCCGGCCACGCGTGGGCGCCGCCTCCCGCCCTGCGGCTCGGGCTCCGCCTGCGGCTGGGACTCGTGCGGCGGCGGCGGGGGCTCCGGCAGCGTCTTTGTGCGGCGGTGGTGACGGCGCTGGCGGTGGTGGCGGCGGCGCAGGCCCGCAGGGCGCGGGGCCACATCGGCCGCGGCGTCACGGGCCCCGCGGGGGCTCAGCGGTGGTCACCAGGGAGGACCCCCCACCCGCCGCGGGCCCCCAGCCCCGACTGCCACGCCGAGGCCGGCCTGCGCGTGGGGACCCCGGGCGCGCCCATGTCCCGCGTCGCACCGGGCCCCGCGCCCCCACCCCCACCCCCCGGCCCGCCCCGCGCCTGCGTCCGTCTGTCCGTCCGTCTGTCCGTCTGGCCTCCCGCGCCACCACTACGCTCGCGCCCGGAGGCCGCGCCGCGCTTGCCACGTGACGCGCCTGGCGAGCCGCAGTGGAGCTGACGGGGCCGGGGGCGCGCAACCCGCCTGGGTGCTGGACAGCTCCGCGCGCAGCCCGGGGCTCGGGGACCTCCCCGCCCCCGTCCCCGTCCCGGTCCCCGTCCCCCAGCCTGGCGCTCAGGAATGGCGCTGTCGCCTGGGGTCCTGCGGTCGGCGCTCGCCCGGACTTGCCCGAGTCCATGAGCCAGAGCCAGAGCTGGCTGGCTGGGGAGCAGAGAGAGACTTGATAGAAGGTGGGGTGGCAGGGAAAGGGGTCACCCACAGCTTCTTAGGGGACCTGAAGGCAAGGTGGGAAATGGAGACTCAAGGCTGAGGCCTGTCTGCTTCCTGAGATGTCCCTGCCCTGCCCCACCTCTGGCCTCCCATCCCTGTGAAATGCAAGGTAGGGGGACACTGGTGGGCGCCCCAAGAGGCTTCAGGAGACCCACCCCGACAAGGATCCCTGAGCTGTGGCTGCCATTCCCGGAGCACAAACAGAGGGACTGAGTCCTAAAGAGGCAGGAGCCAGAGGAGAAGGGGAAGAGGGGCCAGGGGCCATCTAGAGCCAAGCAGACTCAACTGTCATTCTTCAAGATGGATGCCAAATCACAGGTCCCCAAAGGGTCCCTGGCATGGAGGCCCCACCCGCCTGAGTAGAGGCTCAGGACTCCCCTTACACACACACACACACACACACAGGATATTCTGGAGGGATTGACTGAACACATGGTGTCTTCCTGAAAGTTGTAGACAGAATAACTCATTAACTCCACTTTCAGTGTACAGACACCTGGATTTTTATTTATTTATTCATTCATTCCTTTATTTGCAGTGCTGGGAGTTGAACTCAGGACCTACACCGTGAGCCACTCTGCCAGCCCTTTTTCGTGATGGGTTTTTGGAGATAGGGTCTTGCAGAACTGTTTGAGATCCTTCTGATCTCAGCCTCCTGAGTAGCTGGGATTATGGGTGTGAATCACTTGCACCTGGCTATAGACTTTCTCTCTCTCTCTCTCTCCCTCTCTCTCTCTCTCTCTCTCTCTCTCTCTCTCTCTCTCTCTCTCTCTCTGCCACCTGCTTTAACTAGAAGTTCACACACCAGTCCCACTGGGTTGGGTTATTTCCATCAACCAACCAATATGGCCTAGGAGTTCTTTATCCCTTTTTACTTTTTGTTTGTTTTGCTGTGCTGGGGGTTGAACTCAGGCCTTTTTTCTTTCTTTTTTATTTTTGGCAGCACTAGAATTTGAACTCAGGGCCTCACTCTTGCTAGGCATGCGCTCTACCAGTCCAGGCATACCCCCAACCCGTCTTTAAAAAAGAAAAAAAACTTTACCCTGGGGTTGACATTTGAAAAGTCTACAAGCCTAGCAAGCACGAGGCCCTAAGTTCAAGCCCCAGTACCGCAAAAATAAGTAGCCTGTATATATTTAAAGTACACAGGTGGTTTTGGTTTGGGTTTTGGTTGGCAGTACTGAGGTTTGAACTCAGGACCTACACCTTGAGCCACTCCGCCAGCCCTTTTTTGTGATGGGTCCTGCAGAACTATTTGCCCAGGCTGGCTTGGAATGGAGATCCTGACTTACCTCTGCCTTTTGAGCAACAGGGATTACAGGCGTGAGCCACGTCGCCCAGCAGACACCTGCTGGACTTCTGGATTTTAACAAAAAAGTTTAGGGGACAAAAAGAAATCCTTAGCTTTTCTGATTCTGAGACCCTTGGAGTTAATGAAAACAATTGTCCACGTCGTGCATCAGTGCAGGATTGGAAAACAACAAATGTCTTTATGTCAACCGTTGACTTTGAGTTCATCACAGATTTTTTTTGGCATTTATTTGGATTTTTGTGTGCAGAAGTAAAATCTAATTTATCTTAAGCATTGAGATTTTTGGCACTCCCTTAAATTTGGCACACAGTGTGATGCTTCCCTGCCTTACTCTCCTTGGACGCACACCCATTTCTCATTTAGTCGGATGGTGGTCTAGCGCCCCCTAGAGGCTGCCTGGTCAACTGCCATCTTGCAGAAACACCCCAGGTCAGCTCCAGTTGTACCCAGGTTTCTATCCACAACCCAAACCTCCAGCCCCGGGAGGATTCAGTCCTAGGAAGAGAACGGTGCTACAGATCCAGAATGTGTGGAGTGGCGGGGACAGGAGCAAAGCCACAGCAAGGAGCCAGGAGGCCCAGGGTCCTCCTGGCAAGAAGCTGACCCTCCTCCTGGGGAGGGAACAAAGCCATGTGCCCACCCAGGCATCTCGGGAGACTGGAGGCCAGGGAGACATTCAGCCATGGGCTCCAGGACTAAGAGCAAGAGGTGAGCAGAGAGGAGAAGGAAGGATCAGAGATGCCCCACACCAACCGTCTTCCACACACAGGGCCACTGCCACTGCCCAGCCACCAGCCACCCACGCCGAGCCCCCACGCAGCCTGGGGGAAGCCAGTGTCACAGAGACCTCCCACGTGCTCCCCCCACTCATCCTGAGGCAAACCACCCCTCTGCCAGCTGCTGGTGGGACACGAGTTAGGATGATCCCGGCTGCACAGAAATCTTTCTCGATTTCAAATAGTGTGAAGATTTGAAACAGAAATGTCCCCTCCAGCCTCATGTGGTACAGGCTTGGCTGCCAGCTGACGTGCTTGGTGGAGATGATCTCGTCATGGGGGCTCCAGCCGCTCGGTGGATTAATCCACTCGGGGGTTCCTAACTTGGTAGCGTTGCTGGGAGGTGGTGGGAGCTAAGAGGTGTGGCCTTGTTGGTCACTGGGGACCATGTCCCGAAAGAGTATAACTTGTTCCTGCGCGCTCTCTCTCTCTCTCTCTCTCTCTCTCAGCATGCGCGTCTGCCGTGATGTTTCTGGCTTACCATGGGCCTAAAAGCCATGGACCCAGCTAGCCATGGGCTGAACCCTCGCAAAGAGCTGGCAGAGGAGAAAATGCAGAGGTTCCACGGGCTTTTAAAGTATATGAGTGACTTTTAAATCCATGTTTCTCCAACAATTTTATTTTTCTTTGAAACAAGAAGACCTCACTATATAGCCCAGGCTGGTCTGAAATTCAAGCTCCTTCTGCCTCAATCTCCTGACTGCTGGGATTACAGGCACACACACGAAGCCCAGCGTGCTCTCTCTCTCTCTCTCTCTCTCTCTCTCTCTCTCTCTCATTCACTCCTTCCCTCCCTCCTTTCTTTCCTTCCTTGCTTCTTTTCTTTCTTTTTGGGCTGGGATGTCACTCAACAAGGCCCTGAGTTCAAAGCCCAAAACTGCCAAAAAGTAACAATAAATAAATAAATAAAAGAACCAGCAATGGTCCAGGCAGTGTCTAGCTTTATGCCACAGCTGGCCTGGACACGGTCTCCTTTGTGCTTCCCCATGTAGCTGGGGATGATAGCCACACACCATAGTGCTCAGCCATTGCTAGAGATGGGGTCTCATAAACTTCCCCCCAAACCCCAGGCTGGCCTTGAAGCTCAATCTTCCCGACCTCCACCTCCCGAGTAGCTGGGATTACAGGAGTGAGCTACTGAGCTCGCCTCGATGCTGGTTCTTTCAGCTTGAACAGATCAGTGGCGGTGAAGTCACGTTCCCTACGCCACTGAGCACTAATTTTAAAATTATAGACCTTGGTTGGAGGGAAAAGCTAGGAGAGCCTAGGAGAGGTGAGGGGACCAGCCCTCATGGCCTCCACAGGACAAGGGTTGGAAATGGCGGCCACACTCACTTTCAGCACATCAAGAGATGAAAGTAGCCTGAGCCAGGTGCCGGTGGCTCACGCTTGTAATCCCAGCTACTTGGGAGGCTGAGATCAGGAGAATCATGGTTTGAGGCCAGCTCAGGCAAATAGTTCACAAGACCCCATCTCCAAAATAACCAGAGCGAAAGGAGGTGTGGCTCAAGTTACCGAGCATCTGCTTTGCTAGTGCAGAGCCCTGAGTTCAAACCTCAGTCCCACCAAATAAAAGAAAAAAGAAAAAAAAAGCAGCCTGCTCTGTAGTGACCACCTATCCCTTGAGGACACTGGGATTCCCTGGGGGACCCAACGGGTGGGACAGGGCTCTACCCGCCCACCAGGCTCAGAGGGCCACCAGAGAGCAAGTCTTTTTTTCTTTCTTTCTTTCTTTTTTTGTGCCTGCTAGGCAGGTGCTCTACCACTTGGGCCACACCCCAGGCCTTTTTGCCTTAGTTATTGTTCAAATAGAGTCTTGTGCCTCAGTCAGCCTGGACCTCAGTCCTCTTATTTCCCCTGCCGTGTAGCTGGGACGGCAGGCACAAGTCATCACACACCCAGCTTTTATTGGTTGAGACGGGGTCTCGCCATTTGCCAGGACGGTTCTTGAGCCTTGATCCTCCTGATCGCCTCTGCCCAAATAGCAGGGATTACAGGCATGAGTCACCAAGCCCAGTCAGGGGCAAGTCTGTATTATGAACTCAGGATTTGTATTTAAATTGACTCCCTTTGCATCATTTTGTAGGATGTAAATATGATATGATTTTATATCAGTGTCTTTGAGGGAAAGGCAAGTCCTTACCTGTAAACAGATAGCCACAAATGTAAGGAAGAGTATCCACAATGTCCCTGTCCACTGGGAGCCACCCCACAGGAAAGAACACTCTGCATCAAGCACCTGACCTCTAAACCCAGCCTCCTAGGATTCAACCGACCCCCCACTGACCCCCAGGTGAGCAGGACTCTATTTTCTGTGCCTTTAGCACCTGGTCTGGGGAGACATGAGAACACCCACCTTCAGCAAGAGCTCGGAGTTAATCCTAACAG